ATGTCAACAATTTAAAATAGTGAGACAAATAAAAGAAGCACTGACAAACTGTGTCTCGGTGGTGATACTTTAATGCTCTGCATTAACAAATGATGCAACATGAACCACAAATAGCTCAACAACTTACTCCTACAGGGTCTGTGTATGTACATATACATAAGTGTACAAATATTCACATGTACACACAATGAGGCAAGATCACACACATCCATATACTAGAAATTAGCAACCTTTCTTGTAAAAGAATGGGGATAAAAAAAAATCACTGTAATGGCACTGTAGCTTAACAACATAAAACAGACAGGTAGCTGTGTCAGGTGCAAAATACTGCTGTAAATAAACAAAATAAAGCTATAGTAAAACTAAAAAGATATCTGTAGAGTAATCCAACACATTGAGCACACAGCCACACAGGTTTGGGTTCCATTCTCCTACACAGAATCTTATGGCACTGATTCAACTTGTGAAGACTATGTTTATTGGAGGAAGGAAATGTACGCAAAGGCAGAGTTGAAAAGAAACACACACTAGAAGATACCTCTATTCCCAACGGAGACTTGGCTCTTAATGAATCATCATCATCATCATCGCAAGGCATGTCCTTTTCTAGTTTTCAAATGAATCAGTAAATGATTTCTTTCGGAACAGGAACGGAGCAGTTAGGGGCTACACAGCGAGGGTGTGACCTTGACTAATGACTAACATAAACACAGGGCATCAGAGGCAACCTGGGTAATGAAAATTCACGAGGCACAGGAACTAACAAGGAACAAATCTTTTTGTCAAGTGGCCATGGAAGTGACATTCTCTGACATCCTACCTGATGAAAATGAACACTTTACAAGTCGGCGCTAACTTCCAATGCACCCTGCAGGTGGCAGCTCATTATCACACAAGATTTGTACAAGTCAGTGACCCTTTTTACCAGTCGGGTTTATTAAAAATTTTCTTCCATAAATATTTTTTCAGTTCATTATTCAGTTGATGTGCCTGGGTCAACCTCAGAAGTGTATTGGTAGCAAACAAAAATAATCTCCTGGCTAACAACTGAACTTCTAGGACTATCAAGTTTACTAAGCTAATGCGCTATTCATTATGCTGTCACAGCCAGTAGTCAATAAATAATGTGTCTACCAGATAAACACATCACGATTACCATAATAATTGGTAAAATAAATGCAAATAAATGAAGTGTGTAAAATAAATATCAAATGGCACATTAAAAAGGTAACAAGTGTATGCAAACAAGTTTTAGCGTGCACAGAGCCCCTTGGGAGTGAGTAAGCAGTGCGGCCCACAAAAAGATCCCTTTGGGAGTGAGTAAGCAGTGCGGCCCACAAACAGGTCATGCCTCACAGTCTGAAGAGATGGTGCTGGGAGCAGTGACCAGAAATCTGGCCAGTGCTCAACACTCAAGGGAGGGGCAAGACAGACTTACAATCAGACTGTTACTGGTACCATTCATTTGCAACTCTGCACTTGCTGCTGGAGATAGGGATGGAACACTTATGGAAAGGTTCTGAGTGCTATGATGTCCGCCGTTAACTCATTACTCACGGCGGGCTGCGCTGTCGGAGACACTGATCGACTGATTACTGCTGCAATATGGATCCTCACTCAAACAAGTGACTTCTCCATCTCTCATGAAAAACAAAAGATTGCTGTCTCATCAACTGAGGTTGGCTGCAATGTAACCACCGCTAACTTTGGGAATGTTAGATGGTGAGACCTTGATCTCTTCAAAGGTGCAACTCTCATACCACAGTCTGAATGCCATGATAATTTTGTTTCCTAAATTGTACACGCAGGAATCGAAACCTAATAAACACTCCACATTACCACTGGTCTATCCCCAGTCAATAACCCAACACTAGGTTAAACAAGATATATTCCACAGTCCGTTTAAAACAGAAGGGGAGCGAGCAAATTACAAGCAACATAGAATATTTAAATACAACAACTTTAAAAGCAACAACCGTAGAGAAACATTTCAAAACTAAGGCTTATGTCAGTCATATACATTCATTTACATAGTTCAGTAGAAGTATAAAAGTAAGGAAATATTCATCAAATGCAAATGCTGAAAAAAAAAAAAAAAAAAAAAGAACACAATATGCTAAATGAAATCAACTAAGTTATGCCACAGTAAAACTGTGACATGTTGGGACATTCATCAGAAGGGATGTGACAAAATCTTCTCTCCAGTGTCTCCGTCTTCTTGTGAAAGGGCAGCTACTGTCATCCTGGCCCTAGCAGCTGTGCTGATTAGGAGACAAAGAAAGAGAGAAACGAAGCTGCTGCCTCACAAATAGGCTGGGGGTTATGCCTCACAAGTAGGCTGGTGGTTATGCCTCACAAGTAGGCTGGGGGTTATGCCTCACAAGTAGGCTGGGAGTTGTGCCTCACAAGTAGGCTGGGAGTTATGCCTAACAAGTAGGCTGGGAGTTATGCCTCACAAGTAGGCTGGGAGTTATGCCTCACAAGTAGGCTGGGAGTTATGCCTCACAAGTAGGCTGGGGGTTTTGCCTCACAAGTAGGCTGAAGGTTATGCCTCACTACTAGGCTGGGGGTTATGCCTCACAAGTAGGCTGGGGGTTATGCCTCACAAGTAGGCTGAGGGTTATGCCTCACTACTAGGCTGGGGGTTATGCCTCACAAGTAGGCTGGGGGTTATGCCTCACAAGTAGGCTGGGAAATATGCCTCACAAGTAGGCTGAGGGTTATGCCTCACAAGTAGGCTGGGGGTTATGCCTCGCAAGTAGGCTGGGTGTTATGCATCACAAGTAGGCTGAAAGTTATGCGTCATAAATAGGCTGGGGGTTATGCCTCACAAGTAGGCTGAAGGTTATGCCTCACTATTAGGCTGGGGGTTATGCTTGACAAGTAGGCCGAAGGTTATGCCTTACAAATAGGCTGGGGGTTATTCCTCACAAGTAGGCTGGGGGTTATGCCTCACAAGTAGGCTGAGGGTTATGCCTCACAAATAGACTGAGGGTTATGCCTCACAAGTAGGCTGGGGGTGATGCCTCATAAGTAGGCTGGGGGTTATTCCTCACAAGTAGGCTGGGGGTTATGCCTCACAAGTAGGCTGGGGGTTATAAGAAGATGTAACAAAAGCTTCTTACCCACACAGGTGCCCCAACATAATCTCTTTCTGAGGTTGAACCTCTACGACTGCCCTGCTAGTCTACCATCTGGATGGAGATGTCATAACCTCAGGGTGTCAGATCCTGAGGTAGCAGCTGAGAGGGGGTAAAATGACACACACACGAAGAAGAGGAACCAAAAAAAATGTCTCCCAGATGAATATGGATGAACTGGAACACTGTAATGATAATCCACTCTTGTGAAATCACACAAATAATACAGCAAAATGCTTGACCATTCACTGAACAAAGAAATAAACTAAACCTGGCTAACATTTAGTTTACTTCACTGTCACTAATTAGGTCAGAGCTGCCCTACAGCTAACATTTAGCATGTTTGACTGCAATGGAACAGGCCAGAATTGTCCTAACTGCTTTCCTAATCAAATATGATTGTATTTGTTCCTTGCACATTATTTACCAACAGACTGCACACAATGCACATATTGTTCATATGATATGCTCATGTTTGAGGCTCAGCACAATCAAGCCTTCATATTTGTAACACATTAAAGCAACAGTTAACTTTGCTGAATACAAGATCACATCTGATGCTCTTGTTCTGAGATTCATCCAACAGTTCTTGCCAGTGATGTGTCTTACAAAAGACTGACTCAAGGACACTCACAGCTCTAATCTTTAATCACATATAGATCTAGCCTTATATATCTGAAACACCTGGAGGGGTGGGAAAGGATCTTTTACTGTTACTACTAGACAAACATCAGCTTGACTGTCTATGACTACATAAAATCAACATGCACAGAAATGTTCACAATCCAACTTCTGAGTTCCACAACAGCCATTCTCGGACTTCTCCCAAAAAACATTCTTCAACAGGCAGACAGAGTAGATGGTACGGCACCACTCAATGGTAAACTGATGCGTGTTGTCGAGGTCCTTTGGAAGTGAGTGAACGATGCACAGGCACCAGTCTAAATATAATGGTGCAACAAGGAGTGACCAAGCGATCTGGCCGACACTTGCCTCTCAGAGAAAAGCTCAATCAGACATACAATAAGACTGCTACTGCTACCATCAGAACAGGAACTTGGTTTTTAACTCTTTGAGTCCCAAAAAACGCATCATCATTCATAGGTTACTGCCTAGAAGCCCAATGAACGCATGATGCGTCGATTTACGTCTCTCTTGACTACCTCTTGGGCCTGTGATGCTAAACCCTCTGGGGCTCAAAGAGTTAACTCCTAAATTGTTTATCCTGGATTGTCATTATAAGTTAACAGAGAGTCAAAGGCAGTCTGACTTAGAATGAAAGTTTAGACACCTAGTGTCATTTAGTAATGGATTGTTTTGGGGGCTTGCTTTCTTTGGTAATGATTATACGAATAACGGTCCCAAATTATCGAGGCCAAAAAAAATAACCCAACAGGGCCTCAGTCATATGCAAACTGCGAACCTCTTTGTGGTGACTACACTGCATACCGCTGAAAAGCTTATGCAGAGTTAAAGTCACTGCTGAGAGTTTCCCCCGCGCCGCTAGGCAGGGAGGGGGCTAAACTAGATGGCTGGTACTCACGAGCAGCAGCTTCCGTATCTCCTGCAGCTTCCTTCGTTTTATTTGCTCGGGGGATACTCTAAGCAGTTGCGGTATAGTTGCCGGAAAGAGGTCCGCAATTTCCATTTAGTGAGGCCCTGTTAGGGTATTTTTTCGGCCTCGATAATTTGGGACCGTTATTCGGAGGATAGCCAATTATGCATTCACCAATCTCACCATCTGCATTTAACACGTATACTTTTGATTCACTAAACTGCATTTCTGCAACAAAATATACACAATTCTTAATTATCAATGTTGTAGCCTTTGGCTGCTGAAAGTTCTCTTTACTGAAATGTTTATATCCTGTTTTTTATTGCCATTTTCAAATTAGTGAATGTTTCTGATGAATTATGGTCACTGACCACCAGCTTTCTGTGGTAACTTTCAGAATTCAGAGAGAACTCATAAACAGCCATCAGCTCAGCTGCGACGCCAGGGGATAAAACAGGCGAGGCTTTGTTCTTCACAACCCATGAATCTTGCACAGATTCATCTTTCATTAGTTGACTCGGAGACCAAACCGCATCTGAATCATCTTTCTGGAGTTTACTCTGAGACCAAACAGCATCTGAATCATCTTTCATTAGTTTACTCGGAGACCAAACAGCATCCGAATAATCTTTCGTTAGTTTACTCTGAGACCAAACAGCATTTGAATCATCTTTCATTAGTTTTCTCTGAGACCAAACAGCATCAGAATCATCTTTCTGGAGTTTACTCTGAGATCTAACAGCATCCAAATAATCTTTCGTTAGTTTACTCTGAGACCAAACAGCATTTGAATCATCTCTAGGGGGACTGGGTGCTTCCTCTGACCTAAAGGCAAAAGTCTGTGGGAAGGGTCTCTTGGTCCAGCGTGCCCCTCCAGGAGAACTTACACCGTAGGGGTCTTCATCCAGATCACCCATCCCAACATCGTTGTGCTGAAGCAAGCTACGTGCCTTTCCTGTGGATGTAAGAATAACCATTGACCTAAAATGATTTAATCGTAACATAGATGTTCTCAAGCAGTCAATTACTACAGTTTATTCTTTCTTCTTCTTCAGCCCTCACCCATGAAAGGGCGGTTGGCACATTGTTTTGTGGTTTACAGCTAGGTTGTAATATCTAAAGCCTGTGGCCAAACAGATCCTATTTTAGCAAATCCTGAATTAGTTGCCTTTTACAGCAACCGTCGACATCTGTGACTTAAGCGGTGCCAAGTGCTTACTAAATCTGAGGTGGGAGTTCGATCCTAGCTGTAGGTGATTTGGCAGCAGACTACCTTACATGTGGTTTCAACAGTGTTATCAAGATCCGACTGTTCAGAAAGCAATGGCAAACTACTGAATGTAAAACTGCCTAGTGAAATCACACACAGACAAAACAATGCTGGGGTTGGTTCTGCAACCTCCAGTAAAGGATACACAACTAACTTGTTTTTTGTTGTTGTTTAGGAGCAGTGGGTCTAATATTTTTTATCAGAAATTTGGGACCAGGAACCCATACAAGGAATTTTTCAGTTTTATTACAATGTCTCTGACCCATAAATCAAGATCCATGACCAGCATTGCACACCCCGCTTGTTCCTAGATTCAAAAAAAGGAATGAGAGCTCCGTAACTGTCACTACAGAGAAGAATGAGAGCTCAGTAACTGTCACTAGAGAAGAATGAGAGCTCGGTAACTGTCACTACAGAGAAGAATGAGAGCTCTGTAACTGTCACTACAGAGAAGAATGAGAGCTCCTTAACTGTCACTACAGAGAAGAATGAGAGCTCCGTAACTGTCACTACAGAGAAAAATGAGAGCTCGGTAACTGTCACTACAGAGAAGAATGAGAGCTCTGTAACTGTCACTACAGAGAAGAATGAGAGCTCGGTAACTGTCACTACAGTGATCTTCTTCTTTCTGTTGAAGGGCAGAAGGTTCTGCTTGTTTATCCACTTGTGGACTTTAGTCCATTCCAGAATTTGAGTTTTGCACTCTCATCCACTTTACAGATTTGGCTTATTTGTATGCAGACTGACAGGAAACACCCCTAATTAGTTGACTTTTATGTCATGCTTGCTGGGGGGGGGGGGGGGTGTCTACTCTTGTTCCTCCCACAATGGGGGCCTTGAACCCACATGGGTACCTATGGAGATGATGTGTTGGTAATAGGTCAGGAGAAAAGTCTAAATACAAACCTCACCCTGATAGATGCAAACCTGTTTCAGAGTCTCACTGACCACAACATCAAAGTTTAAGGCTTGTGAATCACAAATGGTTTACAACCAACAACAGAAACCAGGTCAGTTAGCGTTTCAGTTCAGACATCATCAGATGATAGCAGCATCAAGAGGGGGATATAAACAACATTTTTAATGTGTTTTATAGGGCAGAATAGTATGGACTGTCATAATACAGAGATGCTGCACATAGCTTATGCCACCAAGAGTGTTATCATGTGAACATTGCTTACTCTACCAAGTGTGTTATCATGTATATATTGCTTACTCTACCAAGTGTGTTATCATGTATATACTGCTTACCTTACTGTGTTATTTTGTATATGGTGCTTACCTTACCAAGTGTTATGTATATATTGCGCACCTTACCAAGATTACTATCATAAACATAGTGCTTACCTTACCAAGTGTGTAATCCTGCATACATTTCTCACCTTACCAAATTGTACATACCGCTTACAATACAAAGTGTGCTAGCACAAATATATACAGGAAGTATACAGGTTTGATACTGTGATAATAGTATGTGTGACTCTGAAATACACACAAGTGAATTCTGTGCCTCGCTGTGGATTTAATGCACTTAGCTGGGATTGTTCTTGTGAGATCCCTGTGGGGAGACTGAAGCTCTTATAATGATATCAGCGTGTGAATTTTTCCGACAGCATTCTGCGGCCCCACTGTGGGTGGGGGAAATGGACCCATGGCTCCCTTAACAAGCACATTGTAAGGTTAGACTAATTAGGGATTTCTCAAAGTCAGAGTGCATCTGCCTGAGAGATAAGGTCCCTAGTCTGCATACAAATAAGCCAGATCTGTAAAACGGTTTTGCATGTAAAATTCAACTCCTGGAACTGGTCCAAACTCCAGAAATGGATGAACACCCCAGAACCTTCAGGCAGTTTACAGCAGGCGAACGCTAAGAAGAAGAAGATGAAAGTGTGAACTGAAAGCGATCCCTAACCAAACTTCAAACCAGACCAAACAGCCAATATTACACATATAGATGATACCTTTGACCCCTGTAGACATCACTAAGTTACAAACTGCTGGCACTCACCTCTGACAGCCATATTTCTTGAAGCCGGAGTGTCATTCTCATGACCAGAGCCAAATGGACTCAACGTTGGAACCACCAAAAGTGCAAATGACAGCAACAGTACCTGATAATGATTAAAGAAAGAATGAAAATGTACATGTGGTACCCGCATTTAAGATTAAAAAAAAAAAAATGGATCTCACTGCACTCTAAACAAGCCAATAACTACTCAGTCTCCCCTAGCAGAAACTGACGGATGTAGATGCTGACTGATCGTGTTATAGACTGGTTAGCTAAACATCAAAGTCCACATTTATTTTGGCCAGCTTCGAGTTCAATTCTCAATTCCAATAATAGGAGATGTGCCCCAAAATGATAATTATTGCTCACAGTATACCTTCCATTATCCCCCTGAGTTCATTTCAAAATGATTCTAACTCCTTCATTCTGAAGTATTTTTTAAGGTTTTAAAGCCAAGAGCATCAACTTCATTAAATCAGGTTTTATTCCAGATGGGTTCATCTTTATCCATCGAACAGTTGACTATTTTAGCATACAAACAAAGCACAAACTCCATGGCTCCAGTGATGATCCCCAGAAATCTCTATAAAATTGCACTGAACAACAGATTCCAGAAAACAAACCCATGGTGTTCAGAGCATGATGGTAAAAACCCAGCCCTGGAGATCCCATTCCCTCCTGTTACACTTATATTCTGTTAGCATGAGTTTAGACAGGACCATTTGAATGGACAACATCAACAATCTCTGTTAAAGATAAATCTGTATCTATATTTGTGTACTTCGATATCATATTCAAACAACACGCTGCAATAAAAGGTACATTTTCTTTAACAGGTTTTCTCTATCAAACATTTATTTTTGGGGAGAACTGATCAGTCTAATAATAAACGACACCTTCTTTCTGCTTCTGTTTTCACTAATAACAAACGTCACCATCTTCCTGCTTCCATTTCCACTAATAACAAACGTCACCTTGTTTCTGCTTCCATTTTCACTAATAACAAATGTCACTTCTTTCTGCTTCTATTTTCACTAATAACAAACGTTACCATCTTCCTGCTTCCATTTTCACTAATAAAAAACGTCACCTTGTTTCTGCTTCTATTTTCACTAATAAAAAACGTCACCTTGTTTCTGCTTCCATTTTCACTAATAACAAACGTCACCTTCTTTCTGCTTCTATTTTCACTAATAACAAACGTCACCATCTTCCTGCTTCCATTTTCACTAATAACAAACGTCACCTTCTTTCTGCTTCCATTTTCACTAATAACAAACGTCACCTTCCTTCTGTTTCCATTTTCACTAATAAAAAACGTCACCTTCTTTCTGCTTTTATTTTCACTAATAAAAAACGTCACCTTGTTTCTGCTTCCATTTTCACTAATAACAAACATCACCTTCTTTCTGCTTCCATTTTCACTAATAACAAACGTCACCTTCTTTCTGCTTCTTCTTCTTCTGCGTTCGACATCAGTCATGCTAAACATTGAGTCCCATCTGGGTCACAAATAGGATTGTGCGTTTAAGGTCGCCACCGGTCCCCCATAGCTTCTCTTTCAATGTGGCTCCCTTGGGCCAGATCCACAGTCTTTGCTGGGAGAGGTTAGGGCAGTACTGTAGTATGTGCCCAGGGGTATGTCTTTCTGCTCCTCAATCACAGGCAGCAGATTCTTGTATGCCTATCCTGTACAGGTTTTCTGCTTCTATTTTCACTAATAACAAACGTCACCATCTTCCTGCTTCCATTTTCACTAATAACAAACGTCACCTTCTTTCTGCTTCTATTTTCACTAATAACAAACGTCACCATCTTCCTGCTTCCATTTTCACTTCACCTTCTTTCTGCTTCTATTTTCACTAATAACAAACGTCACCATCTTCCTGCTTCCATTTTCACTAATAACAAACGTCACCTTCTTTCTGCTTCTATTTTCACTAATAACAAACGTCACCTTCTTTCTACTTCCATTTTCACCAATAACAAACGTCACCTTCTTTCTGCTTCTATTTTCACTAACAACAAAGTGTCACCTTCTTTCTGCTTCCATTTTCACTAATAACAAACGTCACCTTCTTTCTGCTTCTATTTTCACTAATAACAAACGTCACCTTCCTTCTGCTTCCATTTTCACTGATAACAAAGTCACACTGCGTGCTTACCATGGCACATGTTGAAGCTTGCACCGGAACATTTGATTTTCCAACAATAGACTGTAACCTCTTTAGCTGGGCGATCAAGGAACTGTTTGACAGTTTGTATAAAACAGATCACTTGTCAGTCAACAGTTCTCTTCAAGAGTTAATTTCTTTCAAGACATGACATGCTGTGTATATGTATCAAAATTGTGTATCACAAGAGCATATTTCTGGCTACAAAGTTAGAGGAAGACCAAACCCAATATGGATAGATAACATCCCAAGTTTCCAATTGAGAGCGGTGAGCTATGAAATATTTTTAAAGGGAAAACAAAAAGTCACGTCATTGTGCTCTGCACATATTTTTTTGCAGAATGAGTTACAATTTTAATCATCACATTAAAGGAGCCATTAGTTATTATTTTTGATTAAACTGAAAAGTCTTACTTTCCATGTGTTTTCATTTAACTTTTTAAAAAGGTCACAGTCACTTTAACTCTTTAAAATGGGGTCAACACTAAAAAATCTGGGAACTGCTGCTCTAGTCCACTCATCAGACAAATGCACTTGTCGTCTCACCTTATTTGTCTTGGCCTAGAATACAGAAAGGCCTTAAATTTCACATGCCAGTGTGTTACTGGGGCCATCACAGGAAGCAATGAATAGTATAGCATCCCTACACCTCACCCAGAAGACAGGTCAGAGGAAGGGACTATGGGTAGGGTGCAGCTTGGGGTCAGCTACCACATCCCGTAAAAGATGATACAATAAACGTTCAAATAAGTGTTAGTTTCTGTTATCCATCATTGTCTGAAAAATAAAATGACGACGATAAAGAATCAGTTCTTAACCAAAAACCTACAACTAGCCACTCAGAAGCAGAAACAATGTTATCAAAGTGTATCGACTTGTTTAAAATGCAGGAGGTGGCAAGGCAACACAGATCCTACTTTTGCGTAAGATACGGAATATCATGATCGCAGCACAGAAATTTTAAGCGTCAAAGACACAGAAGGAGATGACAGGTTATTTTAAAGAAATGTAGGTTTATAGTAATACAATACCTCTGTATACATCACTACTCTTATTTTGATCGTTTTGTACAATTAAATACAATATGTGTGTATTATTTACTTGTATCGGGTTTTACGTTCATGTTTGTCACAATCCCACAGTGAAATCACGTTACTGTACACACGTATTAAGAGATTTCTGTTATCAAAAACCAACCAATCATGAAAAAAGAGTAACAAGAAATATCCAACAAACCAAGATGGAGGTGGCTCTACAATAAAAGAATGCTGACACGGTGTGGAGAAAGGAAAAAGGAGTCCAACATATGCCCCAGAAGGAAAAAACAGCAAAAGAAGAAAACTTCCCACATTAATAGCAGTACCCTCAAAGTCAGTCAAATGACTGTGCAGAAACAGGTGGGGGTATTCTGCCTAGATCTGGGTACTGTATATATAAAAATGTTGGTAGAACAACCTCTGAGAAGCTTGCATGAAAGAAGGCAGCTGCTCTATCAAGCAAATGAGGAGTGCAGATGAACTACATGTTTTCTTTGAATTTGTATTACATGAGTTCTGCACCTCCAGAGTGCAGCACGAGCAACAAAGTAGAAGGATTAACTCATATTTTGTGTTTTCTTTTGGGTTGTTGTTGCTTACAAAATACATATCACAGCTTGAAAATAATTAACATACACATTCTGCTTTTCCAAGGAGTCGACTTTCTGTTGTAGTTGCCGATTTTCCTGCGTGCACAGCTTGACACGTTGTTCAAGTCCATCAACATATCCTTGTTTTCTCTTTCTGCTTTCTTTGGCTGATATCTATCAACACAGGTAAAACAGGTGACATGGAGATGATCTGACACACCTGGACAAAAGCCACAGATGTGCCAGAGACACAAGCATCTATTTTTGACTAATTTAAATATCAGTAAAGTAAGGACCCTTTTAAAAAGAGGCATACTGTGCTAGAGCTAGGTTTCACAAATCAACTGCACTCAAAGGTGATGAGGTAAACATCACGATGACCGGATATTCCTGGTACCACTTATGGCCTTCAATGGTCATCAACCCACCACAGCCTTCAACAATCATCATCTTAATATGTCCTTTTACAATCACAAACCCACTTCAACTTTTAACAATCATTAACTCACCATGACCTTAACCAATCATTAACCCACCATGACCTTCAACAACCATTAACCTACTATGATCATCAGCAATCATTAACCTACCACGGCCTTAAACATTCATTATCCCACCATGACCTTCAACAATCATAAACCCACCATGATCTTCAACAATCATTAACCCCCATGGCCTTTAACAATCATTATCCCACATAATTTTCAACAATTATTAACCACCTACGGCCTTCAACAATCACAAACCCACCATGGCCTTCGACAATCACAAACCCACTATGACCTTTCAAATCAGAAACCCACTATGAGACATTCAACAACCATGAACTCACTATGACCTTCAACAATCATGAACCCCACTCTACAGACACCTACACCAAACTGAGGCTCCCACCTGCACTACAGGCAGCGAGCCAGAAGCAGACAACTCTGCAGGTTACAGGTAGCAACAATAAGGCACCTAGAACGTTACCTTGTTCCTGATCTTCCTTCTGACGGCCTTCAAAACTCTCTCTTCATCTCTGGTAAGAGGAAGATTAGATGGGAGACTAACGCCTTCTTTTGCTAGCAACTCTTTCTCTTCATCAGTCAAACGGAGCTCAGGAAACTGGAAACAAACATCAAAATGATTGAAACAGTCATCAATCTTTCACAAATATAAAATATCAAGGTAAAAAGAAAAAGCAGTGATATTAGACTAATGAGAAATAAGAATAAGATAAACGCTAAGAGATTAATGAGAAACAAGAACTTCATGATGGTCTGTGAACTCTTTCATTCCAAGGAATGAATCACACATTCATAGGTCGCTATCTAGAAGCCCAAAAACACAAGACGTGCTGATTTTACATGTCTCTTTACTACCCTTGGACCTCTGATGCCAAACCCCCTGGTACTGAAAGAGCTAATAATATTGTCACTAATAATCTGGTACATGTTCTACAGGCTTTCAGCTTGTTTCCACGCCCTAGGGTAAGGTTAGTAACCTCCCCAATGTGTTCATCTACCTGAAGCTACTGGCACAAGTGGATCTGAGCTTTGGTATATGCTGGCCAATATTCAGTGTTGACAAAGAACAGATAGTACTGACTTTGGTTATACGGTAGCCCAGTCATATCTGACCATAACTTGATAGGTCATGGGAGAAAGCAAAATGTTTCTTCATCTTCTTAGCGTTCAGGGCTGTGAACCCAAGCAGAAAAATGGAAATTTTTGGTTATTCATCCACTTCTGGACTCTGGTCTTGTTCCAGAACTAAAGCACTGCACTGCGTATCCATTCTGCAGATCTGGCTTATTTGTATGCAGACTATCACCTCTCAGGCAGATGCAGACTATCACCTCTCAGGCAGATGCAGACTATCACCTCTCAGGCAGATGCAGACTATCACCTCTCAGACAGATGCAGACTATCACCTCTCAGACAGATGCAGACTATCACTTCTCAGGCAGATGCAGACTATCACCTCTCAGACAGATGCAGACTATCACCTCTCAGGCAGATGCAGACTATCACCTCTCAGACAGATGCAGACTATCACCTCTCAGACAGATGCAGACTATCACCTCTCAGACAGATGCAGACTATCACCTCTCAGACAGATGCAGACTATCACCTCTCAGGCAGATGCAGACTATCACCTCTCAGACAGATGCAGACTATCACCTCTCAGACAGATGCAGACTATCACCTCTCAGACAGATGCAGACTATCACCTCTCAGGCAGATGCAGACTATCACCTCTCAGGCAGATGCAGACTATCACCTCTTAGACAGATGCAGACTATCACCTCTCAGACAGATGCAGACTATCACCTCTCAGACAGATGCAGACTATCACCTCTCAGACAGATGCAGACTATCACCTCTCAGACAGATGCAGACTATCACCTCTCAGACAGATGCAGACTATCACCTCTCAGGCAGATGCAGACTATCACCTCTCAGGCAGATGCAGACTATCACCTCTCAGGCAGATGCAGACTATCACCTCTTAGACAGATGCAGACTATCACCTCTCAGACAGATGCAGACTATCACCTCTCAGGCAGATGCAGACTATCACCTCTCAGGCAGATGCAGACTATCACCTCTCAGACAAATGCACTCCAACTTCCAAAGAAACTCTCCTAATTATTATGCCTGTAAGGGAGGCAGTGGTTCTATTATTTTCCCCCCAGAATGGGGCCTGGAACCCACAGGGGCAAGGACATTTCTATATCCTAGGGTAGAAGATAAACATTGTTCAAACTGACATCATCCTTACATTGTTACAATTGACACTAAGAGGATCAACGTCACTGCCTGTCATAGGCAACATTCCTTCCTTCTTGTTTGTTCGCTGGATGGGAATTAAAGTCTTATTTGCTCCATTGACAACCAAGACAGACTGAGTGCCACAAGTGTGTTGATCACAGGAGTGTGGTTCTGTATCTAAGTGATTAATATCTGCAAGAAAATAAAAAAAATAAAAAAAACTATCACATAAAAAGGGAAAATTAAGAGTAGATGTCAGCAAGATACTTAAGAAAATAGTTTTAAATCTAAAAAACGTTAATTTTTGGCAGTATTTTTTTAAAAATTGGTTAAACAGCAGTTCTATAGTGTGCAAGAGGGAGGCATGTGAATCAAAGCTTGTGGTAAAGGCTGGTGTGACACTGATATTAATTATACTGAAAATAAATTATTTCAAGGTTTTCAAATACAACAGAAATATTCTTATGAAATGTATTAATCTTCACAAATTGTAAATGTTAATGCTATTTAATAAGAAAGATTTTATTTTTACTTTAGAAAACTAAAATTTCAAATTTAATGGGAATATTTTCTGTTGAAAGACAGAAACAAATGTAGTCATCCCATGGTGGGCTTTTATTAGTTGACAGGAAAGCCCGTATGGCTAAAAACTCATGACAACCCTGATGCAAAAGAACTGTCACCAACAGAACATTGCTGATATGGAGAGAAGGTATCAAGGCAACTGGAACCCTTTATTGCTTGCTGATTACTGCTGGACTGAGACAAGAGACACCTCATCGATTGACTACAAGAAGCAAGCAAAAAGAGCTCAAACAGCGTTTGAATAATGACCGACAAAGTTCAAATGCTTCTTTTTAAAACATTATATGTAAACTTAATATATTATTTTATTTACTGTTTCTAACATTTTATGTTGAAATATCTATTAACTGAGTATGCAACATTAATTTTTATCAAGCTAAAATAGAAAGACTAACTGTTCACTCCAGGGATGTGAAAAAGCATACATTATTTGTATTACTTTAATGTAAATTCCTCAATAAAAAAAAAAACAAAAAAAAAAAACTACTAGCGTCAACTGGTACACTTCATTATGATATTTGAAATCAGCGTGTCAAAATCAATCAGAAATTACGAATTTAAATTCTGGTACAACAAAACTTTTGAAAATGTGTTGACCAGTGTTATCCATCAATCAATCCAGACATCCCTTGCCTTTCTTGGTTTGCGTAATGAGTTGTTAGATTACCAGACTCTATATCAACTGCAGCTTATTCAGGGTTTTTCAAAATGATGGATACTTTTATTGATGTGTAATTTCTTGAATATGGATTACACATCAATAATATTCATAAAAGAGACAGAGGAAGGTTTACAAACTTACACTAGAGATTATAGATATTTGATATGGCTGCTATTTGCTGCTCGGCAAACATCTAAGCATAAGCTGAATTCATGTCACACGCTGAGAAGCATCCCTTGCATAACTAAGTTTACTGCACCTATGATATAAGTGGTTCGTTACGCAACTGCCTTCTAGCTGCAGCATTTAAAAGTTAAGATCCTACCCTCTTTCTCCTCGTGTATCATATATATATATATATATATATATATATATATATATATATATATATATATATATATACACACATACATACACATATATATATATATATAAAATGTATATTAAAGGAAATATACATGGATGAAAGTGTATCCATCATTTTGAATAACCCTGCACTCCTTCTGACTGACAGTATTACTAATGAAACACAAGTGATTATTAATTGCAGAAATAACAGCCTGAGATGAGAAATGCAAAAATATACGACTCCTCATGACTAAAAAGGTCAAGCATAATCTTACAAACAAAACATTAATATTTAAAAAAAAAACATGAAACAAAGAGTACTAACCAAAATCCTCTGATGCATCATCATCATCCTCATCATCATTTCCGCAGGAGGTGTAGCCTATACTTTCACTGCCGCCAGACACTTTGTTCAACATGTGGCTGTAGCTGATACTCTCAGCCTTGACCATACCCACACTGGCATCATGCATCTTGAGCATGTTATAGGGCATATTGTCTGTGTACTGAGGGAAGCTGGTTCCCCTGGCATAGTTAGGATAGTCTGCTGTTGAGTACCTTGGGGAGGCGAAGAGTTCCAGTTGATCATCAGTCATGTTATTATTTTCTGAGTTCAGACTCAGCCTCAAGACAGAACTGGAGTCATCTGAGACGACAGAAACATCACTGTCACTCTGCTCGCTGGGGGATGTGTGAGCGATGTAGTCGTGGTCAGAGTGAAAAGTTTTCTTTCTATTCAGGGAGTCATCTAACACAGGATCTGGCTGGGCTGCATTGATCAGGCTCTCAAACAGGTTATCGCTCAGTAGATCAAAATCACCCTAGCAGACCGAAAATATATCAAGGTTATCAACCTGTTGTTAAAAACTAGTGCAGAATTTAATTAATGATGTATTAAAAAAATATATTCAACAGTTTTCTCAAAGCTCAGTATCTTAAAGACTCAGATGTCTTAGGAAATGGAAGATGGTAGAGTCATTGAGGATATTCTCTGTGGTAAAATCACATCACATTTTTTTTAAACGTTGCTCACGTCAACCCTTAGAGATTTACATATTCTCCTCTCCTCGTCGTTACGTTTGTGTAGTTCACTTATGTTTGAAAAAGGTTGCCCGGACGAAACGCTGTGTTGTTTTGTGCACGTTTTTCTACTTCCCCATTTTGTTGAGCTTTTTAGTCAAATTTCTCTGGAATTCCTTGATGAGCTTGACTGCAGTTACCCCCATATTTTCACCATTTTTGGACTTTCCCATGAGTGCTGACCCCTGACCTAATCACTTAATTACTCCTCACAGTACCATTCTCTTCAGGCGATGATGATCCATCTGTGCTTCTGCACTCTTCACTCATCCCCCAAAGGGTCCTTACAACATCTATCTTGTCATGCATAATTCATCAAAAAATTGTGCAAAGCCAACCAGTCTATCTGCTTGTTAATTTCCTAATACACTGGCCTTTTCTGGGGAAAATATTTAAAGGACTCTGACTAACCGGGACTTCTGAAGCGATGCTTGCCATTCTTCACGAAGCATACCAGTCTCTTAGTCTCCACCTTTCTCAAGATGTTCTGTGAGTCATTTACAATTATAATGTGTGTACAGCTGATTCTCAAGCCAGTGAAAGGCTGCAGTGACTGCCTCTACCTCTATGCTCAAACTAGATGTTGCCATGTCAAGCTTTGTTGTATTAGGCAATGTCTATTTACTTTTGCTAAGAAACCCCATTCGTCTGCCTCTTAACATAGAGCCATCTGTACAGATTATCACATCACCTGGGCAAAAATTGTCACGAATCATTATTTGAACTTCTCCTTCTGCAGCGCCCACTGGACAGTCCCTGCACTCATGGCTCAGTGTGATCAGAACCCTACACAGGTCTGAGTTTTGTCGGGACATACTGACCCACTTCTCATCCAATGTTATCAAACCTACACACATGTCTAATTGTGTTTTCAGCTTGCGCCGTCCAAGACCTTCCTCTTTTTAGAGACCCTTTTCTGTGATCCTTAGCTCTGTTAGGGCTTCATGCAGGAGATGTTTCTTATCTGCAGCTACTCTGAGATATCACTCAGCTTGCAGCACTTTAAGCCTATCTGTAATAGTATATCACAAACATACTACCAGGATATCTCTTAAACATCCCCAAATTACCCTTATGACTTCATTCTGTATGTATTCAAGTTTCATCAGCTGACACTATGAAATTGGTAAGCACTCCACATCCATAATCGATCACCGACAGGATGTAATGCTGGAACATTGAGAACAACACCATTCCATATCCATTGCTGTCATAACCTTAATCGCACTGAGTCCTTTTTGGCATTTCGCCGCAACTGCCTCCACGCGAACCCTAAAGGACCGGCTTCTATTGAAAGTGATACCCAGGTATCTCAGTCTGCTTTCTCTTTTGATGTTTCTATCATTAATTGTGAGACCTGGATCATCAGCTCTTACAAATCTGTAGCCCAGCCATCTTTTCTGGGTTGATCACAGCACTCATTTCTGCACACTAGTCAGTCACTTTGTCTACAGTTGCTTGAAGTTCTTGGGCTGTCTGTTACCTGTCGCTTCCCTGCCTATATGCAATGTATACACACCGGAACCTACCAATCAAATACCTTTCTTAAATGTTTGTGTATTCTAGACAAAGCATTAAAGTCTACTGTGTTCATAAATTGTTGCTGTAATTGTTATTCAAAATGTGCTTCATTAATATAAATTTATGTAACCTATAGTGCCATTTCAATGGTTTGAAATGAATTCTGTCCGTATTTCATAGTTGTAGATTTTAAGCTGTACGATAGACATGGCCAATAAAACACCTTTTATGGGGTGCCTTGTTGACCATGTTCTTAGTGAACTTGTATCCATGGCAAGGAGCAGACGGCGTCTGGAGGTGACAGTTTCAATTCACAGCATGGTAACTACAGCTTTTGATTTTTATGTTGTCTAGTGTTTTTTTTTAAATCTTTGAACTTCTTTCTATGAGTGCTGATCAATACACTTTCTGTTACTTGATTAATTCAATAAGACAGACAGCTTTACTTCTAAGAAACTGTTCTACTACAATTTTAAGCTAAGGCAACCTGGCATTGCAAATAAACTGAAAACAGGTTCTTGCCTTAATCTGAATTCAAACACATCAACACCGGGCTGGCAGGCAAGAGTGCTAGGTATTGTGTAATCATGGCTTCCACATTCCCAAAAGGAATTGTAATTAGACAATACAGACATGTGTCAACATAATACACAAAGGCATGTATCAATAAAGGCTAATAGAAATTAAAGATGTGTATCAATATAATATTATACAAACATTCATAATATGAGTAGCAAATACAATTCCTTAGATAGCCGAAAGCAAATGAACAAAATGGGAACTACTGCATGGCAACATCTTGAACTGAATTTGTTTTAAACTAGGCCAAGTAAAAAAAAAATTCTCTAAAACAAATACATGAGCTTCTAGAAAACATACGACCCTGTGGAACAAACACATGAGCCTCTAGAAAACATACGACCCTGTGGAACAAACACACGAGACAGACTGTGCAGCAGAACAAAATACATGCACGAAAGACACAATCAGTCAATATTTTGAAGGTGGTCTATTATTAATACTATATACTGAAATTATTGCACCAGACAGTAACAGAGATACAAAGGTCAAATTTATACAGAAGTAAATAGAAGAAAAGAAAGCATATGCACATCCATTAATAAAATGTCACAGCACATAGCATGCAGCTGTAATTATCAGTTTAAAAAGAAAATATACTTACAAAACTAATATTGTGAAATATACTGTCTTGTTCGGTATTATAGTTTAAGTTTGCCTCAGCGAAATCCCGTTTCCCAATATTGTTGTTATTGATGTGAATGTGTGGAATAATGGGTACATCATCTTTCATCAATCCACAGTGGCCATCAAACAACAGGTCTAAAACATCTGTAGGCACGGTATCGAACTCCATTTTGTGGCACTGGTTGTTTAACTATATCTTGTCCTGACAAACCGCGGCGGCGTCTAAAGTTCCAGCTCACACAGGGACACGTCAGCCTTCCTTACTTAGAGACGCAAGTCAGAGTTCAGTTACTTTTTTTCTAGTCAAGAATTAAGTAAAAAGACAGTCCTTTTCTTCCGTTCACGACCTGTGCTGCATTAAAAAATGAAATGTACGGTCAGACTTATAATTTTTGATGAAAAGACTAACAATCGGGCTTCAATTACAGTATTATTACACTTTATTCAATCAATATTTATGTTTAAGTTTATTGACTGGTGGAATCTCCCCGTGTCAGTGTCACTCCCCGTGTCACGACTTTCGTACATCCCTGTAGGCAATTATAACGGTGCCAGTAGTCAAGAAGCTCTGGTGAATGTCTCTCCGTACGTTTTGTGACTGTTTAGTTTAGTCAACGATGCAACATCAACAGACACAATCATTAAACCCGACCTGGGGTTCCACCTGAGAAACCCGGCCAGACCTTGTTTTGGTTCTATCATTAGCTCTTGGGGCGGGTTTCCGGTGTGACAGACGTGGAAGTCCGTTAAAGTCAGACATGCGGTAGTTTCGTAATACCCAATGAGTGGGGAAACTCCCGAGTATTTCGATTAGGGGGAAAAGTTCGGTTCTGTGCTTATTTGTCATCAGTGGTCTCCGCAGATGTTGACTGATGTACCATTTTACTCTGTAATAAATATATTTGCGAACTGTATCAGTTCGAGTGTTGGTTAATGAATGGAATTATATTGATTGCTGCAAGACATGGCTATATATATTGTGTGAAAGGGGAGAAAAAAAAAGTTGGAATCCCAAGAAGAAACAGCACGCAAAAGTACGGTACATTCCTTATAGGCCCAAGATCCTTGTGTGTACTTGTGTTTGCACTCGTGTTCCAAGTCCATTGTGAATTTATTCATGACTGGTTTCCAGAGCCTTTACTAGGATGAGGTACGATCAGCAATACACAGCCTGAAGAAAGGAAAGTCACCAGGTTGCGACGAAATACCAGCAGAACTAATTCAAGCAGGAGGAGAGGCCAGCGTCCGAATCTACCATGCACTGTGCTCGAAGATCTGGAACAGTGGCATTTGGCCTAAAGCGTGGAAAAGAACAGTCTATATCCCTCTCCCAAAGAAAGGAAATCCAAAACTATGCTCCAACTACCGTACCATCGCATTAATAAGTAATGCTAGCAAAATCCTCTTACGAATTATCATGAAAAGGATTGAAAAGAAATTACAATATGAACTAGATGAAGCACAAGCGGGTTTCAGACAGGGTAGAGGAACTAGGGATCACATATTCTGTATGAGAAGAATAATTTTTGAAAAATGCAGAGAATACAATGTAGATCTTCTTGCTTGTTTTATTGATTATAGCAAGGCATTTGATTGTGTCCAGCACCACCAACTGTGGACTATTATGAAAAGTATGTGGTTTCCAGCGCATTTAGTGCATTTAATTGAACATCTACTATTTTCATTTTCATTAAATCATGAGCATAAGCAGAGAGCAACAGACCATCGACATAAAGATTCTAGATCACAGCCTAACACAAGTGCAAGAATTTAAATACTTGGGAAGTATCTTTACATTCAATGGTAAAATAGACAGAGAGATCGAAGCAAGAATCCAACAAGCCAACAATGTCGCATACCAGCTTGCCCCAATTTTAAAACACCCTGCTGTCCCAGCTGAGATAAAAAGACAAATTATAAATACAATCTTTATACCGACATTAGGTTATCAATGTCAGACTTGGACATTAACAAAAGAACACGAGAGAAGACTAACCACCTGTGAAATGAGATGTTTGAGAATGGCTGCGAATAAAACCAGAAGAGATCGAGTGAGAAACGATGTGATTACAAGAACTATTGGAACCATACCCATCGTTAAATTTATCGAGAAGCAAAAAATGAAATGGTTTGGTCACCTAATGAGAATGGAACCAATGATGCCAGCATCAAGAGCATACAACATGAAATTCGAAACACCAAGAGGCAGGGGAAAACCAAGAAGAAGATGGATTGAAGGAGTCACGGACAACTTGAGACTTCATAACATCACGGCATATGAAGCGACTGAGCGCGCCCTGGCTCGATTGCCAATCATCTGATAGACTGCGACGCCTAGCGGCACAAGCAGATTTTGACAAAAGAAGAAAGAATTGAACATCTCTATTATGAACAACAAGCAGCCATCAGAGCAGCTGGTGAAACATCTGATTGGTTCGAAGTGCAAAAGGGGGTGAGGCAGGGGTGCATTCTCTCACCATACCTATTCAATATATACGCAGAAAATATAATGAGAAATGTCAAAAATGACCAGACTTGTGACAGTTATGATCCTCTCAAAATTGGTGGCAACCCTATTCCAGAACTCCGCTACGCAGATGACACATTCCTCCTTTCGAACAGCGTAAAGGGAATAGAAAATTTAATATTGTCCACCCAAAAGCACAGTGAAGATCAAAATCTGTTCTTGAATTTAAAGAAAACGAAAATAATTTCCACAGATAAAACTGGCTGTCACCCAAAAATTACAATAAATGATGAAGAAATTGAAAATGTCACAAACTGTGAATATCTAGGCACTATAATAAACAGCAATGGAGATTGTTCGACAGAAATTAAAAGGAGGATGGCCATAGCAATGCAAAGATTGAACAGCCTTTAAAGTCTATGGTTAAGCACCAGATACAAATAAGAATTTTGAGAGCATGCATCTTCCCTGTGGCTACATACGGATGTGAATCGTCGACTATCTCTCAGTCTTTAAGACAGAGAATAGGGGCTTTAGAGCTGAAATGCTATAGAAAGATTCTAAGAATATTTTGGACCAAGAAGATGAGAAATATTGACATCTTAAAAGATCTGAACATCAAGGAAGATTGGCTAATAAACAGAATCCTTTCTCGAAAGCTGAAATAGTTTGGTCATATTAAGCGCCACGACGGATTGGAAAAAATTATAGCTGAAGGCATGGTACCAGGAAGGAGGGCAGGGGCAGACCGACACGAAGATGGGCACAGGATGTAAGTGACTCCTAGAGTGTGAAAGTTCATGAGGCGGGAGAACTGGCAAGAGACCGAGTTTCTTACAGGCAGACTGTGATGAGAGCGACGTTCTGCAAAGGACCTGCTAGATGATGACGATGGTTTCCATTACTCTTGATTGGGGGGGGGGGGGGGGGGGGGGGGGGGCTGTTGTGAGAGATAGGAATGCATGATATTTTGCTATGTTATCACAATCGACGTCATTGCACATGGGGCATTCCCATGGCTACTCAGTCCTCCGATGCAGCAGCCACTTCAAAGTACTTCTACTAATTGTTCCCATGAAAAGCTGGTTATATTGTCTTCTATCTTTACCATTCTTTACTCAAAAGTCACGCAATCGTGTTAGCGTCAGGGATTCCTCAGTATCCACTAGCCCAGTCCGTACAGCGTTGACGATATCTGCTCTGTCCATGCTTTTTTCCGCAATCCTTAGTGCAGCGCTTGCCAGTTGGTCCGCTCGCTCAATTCCCTTTACACCCGCATGACCCGGTGTGTAGATTTAGGTTAGGGAGGTTAAGTGCGATATTCGAATGCTTTCTATTCATTCAGAGCGTATACCGCCTGTTGCTATCTTCTGAAACATATTCATGTAGTCTGAAATAATTACTGCCTGTGTGGCGGTTTGCTAGGATACCCATGCTTATGCTCTAAAAGCAGCAGTTTTTTCCATGGTCATGCTTGACGTGGTTGTCTGGTAAGCGCCGCTGTCCTCATGTATTGTCCCCCCCCCCCCAACCTTTTTTTGCGCTAAGAATGCTCGTGTTGAATTTGATTCGCGCTTCACGGATCCATCTGTGTAGATGATGATATCTTCGGGGTCTGAATGCTGATCTATCAGTTCCCTCAATTCTGTATCTACGGCAGCAGGAATTTGATCTCTGCACTACCTTCCGAGTGTGATGACAAGTAGGGCTGTGTTCGCTTTGCGGCCGAATAGTGGACCTATTGACTATTCGGTATTCATTTGAATATTTGCAGTCGGGCCGAATAGTAATTACCTTATACCCGCTTCTGCATACACGGCTTTAATACTAACAACATAGAACGATTTGTTTTGTTGAAAGCTAATGCAGCTTTCATGCATTAATTAAGCTGCCAGTGTCAATTTACAAGTTTAGTTACTTGATATAATGGTTTGTTGCGTATCCTTTACAGGACGTTGCAGAACCAACCCTAACAGCCCCTGGCTGTTCTGTGGTTTCTCTAGGCAAATTTACGTCCAGTAGTTACTTGATATAATACTTAGGATAATTTCATTCCTAGGTATTAGTTACCACAGACTGACTGAAGGATGCAAAACATAAAATATTTGTAAATATTTACTATTCTGTACGAATACTAACTAGACCTAGAAAGAATATAAACTCCGGCTACATCCAAGTCGATAATATGAAAATCAAACGAAAGGAAACAAATAAGTACTTAGGTGCAAACTTCAACTGCTCCAACATGCTGAGAGAAGAAATACAATCTAGAAATAAAGTATACTATGCCCTTCAACATCTGCTAAAATCAAAGTGTCTGTCTCGGAACACCAAGATCAAAATATATAAAACGTTGATAAGACCAGTCGTTTTATATGGCTCTAAAACTTGAAGCAGAAATAAAAGAGATGAGGCCTTATTACAGGTTTTCGAAAACAGTCTTACGACAAATTGTTTGACCCATCAAAGATGCTAACAGCGGGGAATGGAGAGTGAAAAGCAACAACGTAACACATAATCTGTTAAATCGCCATTGATCACTGGCATCATGAGAGCTAACAGACTAAAATGGTTGGGCATATTGAAAGAATATCAGATGACAGAGAAGTAAAACTGTATACATCTGAGAAAGGAATCGACGTTCGAGAGATAATGTCCAGCCCGACCTGCAAACAACTGGTGTCACAAATTGTGAAGAGAAG